CCAAAATCAAATCAGCACAAGGGGATGGTAATACTGCAACAGTTATGAACTTTTCTAAGTATGGTGTTTTAACAAACACGTTAGCAAGTCGATATCTTTCGATGCTACCACCAAAGGTACGACAATTGATGTATTTGTCTGTTAAATCTTCTGGTCTAATCAGTCTTTGATGCACTCCGGAAATAGATGCACCAGTGTCCCTAAGGAGTGATATGGTTTGCCCATGGATCTGACCTTTTTGAAATTTCAGAGTACCGTGGCCGTGTGTTGCCAGATTAGCGTTCTGAATGGGTATCAGGTGTCCACACGGTAGGTTGCCTTCCTTATGGAATTTAGAACATATTTTACATTCTTCTTCTGTTTCGTACATGGTAGCTGAATTGGCTTCAGCTGAATCGCTTTCTGACTCATCATCTGATGTTACACATACTACATGTGCCTCCTTGAATCGTTTTATAGCAGGACAGTTACGTCTGGTGTGCAAATAACATCCACAAATATAACATTTTACTGCATTTTCATACCTCTTTAACTTGTTTTTTCTATGAGCAATCACCTGTTCGATTCTTTCATTAAATAGTGGGCTTTTATCACAAGGTGCGTCGTCACCATGTCTATCGTGACAGTGGTTGCAATTGATGGTCTTTACCTCTTTCTTGCCATATCTAAAGTTTTTGTTCTGAAATTTCTGTTGGTATGGTTTTGCATAGGCTGCTGCTCCCACTTCTATCAAATCAGAACTTGATAGCACGAAGATATCAGGGTGTGCTGCAAAATAATTTTCACCTACTTCTTCTAAAGAATCTAAATTTGTTGGCTTATTTTCCTTTAGGAAAGTTGCCATTGGCTGTGGAAGAGATTCTAACATTTTACATCTTAACAACAAATCAACCAATAACTTATAGTCATTTTTTACATTGGCTGCTTCAACCCATTTTTGGAATATGTTCTGCACTTCTGACAGATAGTCTGCAAATGTTTGACTACTTTTTGGTCTCAAATCGTTGAACTGTTTTCGGTAGCCAGCTTCGTGCAGGTTGTAATGCTTCATTAACCTTTCTTTGATATAGTTGTAATCTAGTCTTTTGGTTTCCGGAATTGTTTCCAGAATCTTTAAAGGTTCAAATGCCAGGTGTTTTTGAAAGATTAAAGCGTAGTCTTGCAATGGGACGTTATGCATGTGCATACCTAGTTCGAAATTGGCTATATACGCTCCGATGTCGTCTTCCTTGCAGTAATTTCGGACTATTCCTGCATATTTTTTGAATTTGTTTTCTTCTGCTTTGATTCTCTCTTTTTCTATGGCTGCTTCTCTTTTTGACTCATTTTCCATTTCCTTTGTTCTGATCTGAGTTTCTGCTTTTTCTTTGTCCGCTTGTATTTGTGCCTCTAACCTCTGTTTTTCCAGCTGTAATTTTTTTGTAATAGTCTTCAATTTCTTTTTGTTGTAGTAGTTCCATCTGTTTCAATTCAGCCTCTTTTACTGCTTCTTTCTCTTTGAGACGTAGTTCGTGTTCACGCACAAGTCTGCGTTCTTCTCGTTCTTCTGCTGCTTTTCTTAATTGTTCTTCTTTTTCTTCTGCTGCTCTTCTTTGCTGTTCTTCTTTTTCTTCTGCTGCTCTTCTTTTTTGTTCTTCTTTTTCTTCTGCTGCTCTTCTTTTTTTTCTTCTTTTTCTTCTGCTGCTCTTCTTTTTTTTTTCTTTTTCTTCTGCTGCTCTTCTTTTTTGTTTTCTTTTTCTTCTGCTCTCTTCTCCTTTCCTCTTCTACCTTCTCTTTATGTTTTTCATCCACATACTTCCTTAACTCGTCGCCCTGAAGGCCCAATTCTTTACCAATGGCTACCCATTCCGCCATTTTTGACTTGTAGATGTATACGATATTCCTGTACAAATATAACAATTACAAATGCGTTCACAAATATTACGCTTAATAGCAATACAATCACAACCAACAAAATCAATATGTGATATATAATCACTATGTTTAGCTGAGTAGTTTTCTACCTACTCAGAACAATAATATCAACTATGAACTTAATTACTCAACTTTTTAAAAAAAAAAAAATTACTATGGCTCCTATCGAGCTAAGACACAGTCTATTCTACGGATCCTTCTTTTCGCTATAGCACACTTCTCGGCTGTAACGGAAATATATTGAACGAGTCTCTTGTAGATCGTGTCGTGCAATTGAATCTTCCGGTTGGTAATGTCACTTCATTAATTGGCCACTACCCGTCTGAATTCATATTGTGGTTCATCATGGAAGTAGTGTACTTTTTTGAAAAATAGCGGCACTCGTCTATAAGTTGAACATGGGTGTCAATCTGAATAATTCATGGAAACTGACTGTCTGTTCTAAAGACTTGAAGGAACTCACAGAAAACTGTTCTGCACGTGTACTTGTTCTACCTGTGCTACGGATGTTCGTTTAGCGGTGTTCCGCTAGCTGCATGTTAGATCGGATATGTGGATATAAGTCGGCTGTCCGCTTGACCAATGTCACTCAGCTAGATGCCTTGTCTTAACACACTTACGTTATGTTAGCATGTTTAGTGATCACTGTACTTGGTGGCTGTTGCCCTTTGCAACTACTGTTTCAAACACTGGACTGATTGATGACTACTTTGATGTTGTAATACACAGTATAGTTGTTACGATCACACTGTAACAATACGCAGTATAATTGTTACGATCACACTGTAACAATGTGTAGTATAGCTGTTACGATCACACTGTAACAATTCGCAGTATAGTTGTTATGATAACACTGTAATAATACGTGGTATAGTTGTTATGATGATACTGTAACGATAACTAATTTCGACACGTTACCCAGTGGCGAATTTGGCCATCCTTACACAGGAAAACTGTACTTGAAATTTCTACACATTTTCTTGAGGTAAATTTCGACACAGCAACTGGTGTTACCACGGATGATGGCTGTATAGCGGCCTTGACCCAGTCCCCCACTTACGTCAACTCTGCAGCCCCGCTTTGAGCTTTGAAGTTTAACTGGCCAACTGGCCGGGTTTTTGGTCACTACACTGACCATGTTTGTCGTTGCTTGTTCTGAACAAATAAATTTTGACTAACAACTGCTGTTACCTCAGACGATTACTGGAAATCGACCTTGACACAGAACGCCACTTACATTGACTGTTCAGCTCCGTTATTAGCTGTCGAGTTCAATTGGTCCAATCCGCTGTGTTTTCAGTGATGTTCCGGTTATCTTCTGTCGTTGTTTTTTGTCCCGGATGTGTCCGTTTTAGAGCCTCCACTTGTAATGTGCTCATCTAGGGGCATGTGTTGTTTACATTGCTTTCAGACGAACAGTGAGTTGAAACGACACAGCATGAACGAATATTGAGTTCTTTGCTTTTATTCGTTGAATCGCCAGTTATCGCAAACATACATTCATGCTTCCTCGTGCTCGACTTGCTTGGCTGAATCTAGCGACCTGGACGGACTTCCCACACACTACAGGAATTTATCAGCGCCTCTCGAACCATCCATCTATACTTCATGGACTCTGATATCTGACATTACGACGTATGGAAAAACATTCAGTCCTCCTATTGAAATATAACGTTCACTTGACAAATCATTTATTCTTCTCAGGCGTTCATTCACGCGTCCTCTCTCAGTCAGGGCAGAACTTCAACTGTCTTACTTCAGTCTCTCGGTTCACGTCTTCCGTTCACGTCTCATGCTTTTCTTGTGTCTCTCACTTCGTTTACCATGAGACACACGAGACTCACTTCTCCCGTTTTTCTCTTCTCTCACGGGTCCTCCGACCTTTTTCTCCCCATCGGGAACTCTCTGGGGTTTCCAGCTAACCAGCACACAACATAGCAACAGCTAACCAGCACACAACACAGCGACAGCTAACCAGCACACAACATAGCAACAGCTAACCAGCACACAACACAGAGACAGCTAACCAGCACACAACACAGCAACAGCTAACCAGCACACAACACAGCAACAGCTAACCAGCAGCACCAACACACAGAGACAGCTAACCAGCACACAACATAGCAACAGCTAACCAGCACACAACACAGCGACAGCTAACCAGCACACAACACAGCAACAGCTAACCAGCACACAACACAGCAACAGCTAACCAGCACACAACACAGCAACAGCTAACCAGCACACAACACAGAGACAGCTAACCAGCACACAACATAGCAACAGCTAACCAGCACACAACACAGCGACAGCTAACCAGCACACAACACAGCAACAGCTAACCAGCACACAACATAGCGACAGCTAACCAGCACACAACACAGCGACAGCTAACCAGCACACAACACAGCAACAGCTAACCAGCACACAACACAGCAACAGCTAACCAGCACACAACACAGAGACAGCTAACCAGCACACAACACAGCAACAGCTAACCAGCACACAACACAGCAACAGCTAACCAGCACACAACACAGCAACAGCTAACCAGCACACAACACAGCAACAGCTAACCAGCACACAACACAGCGACAGCTAACCAGCACACAACACAGCAACAGCTAACCAGCACACAACACAGAGACAGCTAACCAGCACACAACACAGCGACAGCTAACCAGCACACAACACAGCGACATCTAGCCAACACACAACACAGCAACAGCTAACCAGCACACAACACATCAACAGCTAACCAGCACACAACACAGCAACAGCTACAGCAAGCAGCTTGAGCTGATACAGCCACATTGCAACATAACATACATATATTTGCTGGTTACACCTTACAGACTACCGACCTCAGCTCCTAGGCTGATCAAGCCTTACAGGTGTACAAAGACATATATGGAACTTACAGATGGTTGACATGATACTGACTACATCAACAATCAAGTTCCCATTTTTCTGGAAAAATATGGGTCATGCACCATATGCCTGAAGCCCCAGTTGCAGTGAAATGGTAGTTTCTTGACTTCCCTTTAAAGGATAACAACAGAGGGTTTTTCCCTGTGTACACATACCTGCATATGCGGCTTGGATAAAATCCCCAACAATTCTCGAACTTTCGGGTCTTCAATCCTGTATCTAATTTCACAATATACCTGGTTTCAAAAACAAAAACAACATAAGGATGGAAATGAAATGAGAACAGTGACAAACATCTGAGTTAGCATGAAAAAATAGGGCAGGGTGGAGGCATGTAGAGAAGAAGTACTTTTTAATTACATTTCCCCCCACATGTGGGTTCTGGGGTCTCATTTTAGCCCCCCCCCCCCCCCCCCCCCCCCCCCAAATAAAATGGACCCATTGGCTCCCCTCCCTCCCCCATAGTGTGTCATAAAAAGACAACTAATTAGAAGTAGTCTGAAATCTGGTGCATTGAGCCAAAAGGTACAGATATTACAGCCTAGCTGTAAACCACAGTACAATGTGCCAACCAGTTTCAAGGATCAATGCTAAGGAAACAAATTTCTACTTCTGTCTGTATTTCTTGTCTGCTTGTCTCTCCATTTGTTTATCTGTCTGTGTCCTTACCCTTTGTTTCTGTTTGTCTCAGTTCTCTCTTAGATCAATCTGTTGTTACATTCATTCTCTTTATTTAAATCAATTCTTCTCTTTATTTATCTGCCCCCCCCCCCCCCCTTTCCAGCTTTCTGTGAATTTTTGTGTGAAGGGAAATAATCACTAAATAAAATGGAAAAAGAATTAACTGCCTTTATTCCCCATGACCATAATAAATGTGGTTTTGCTGATTCAGTTACGTCCAATAAAGTGTCATCATTAGGAGATTTGTATGACATCACAATTTGTTTCAAAAAATGTGATTAATTTTTTCGCCCCAAATAATACCTCACAAACTGTATAGTGAGTGTGGTTTATAAAGTCATACCCACCGTGTCTACACAGCCAGCTTTATAGCCAGTACGAAAGCTACCACGTACACTTAGTGGCCTCACTTCAAAAACCCTAAATGCCAGAAAAATGGCTTTCTCAGGGTAAGAGGGTTAGCTCCCACCTCAGAAAATATTTGACACTGCCTAATTGTGCCCTCCTCTCCAGCAATACTCACATCTGCTGCCTGAGAAACTGCAAAATCTGCTGCTGGATTTTTGCTGCCTTGCCGAGCTCGAAACTGTCGATAGATCTGTAATTGTCATCAAAACAAAACCACAAATAAACATTTTCAGAAGTGTGAGGTTGATTGGATAAGCTTCTGACATCTGAATATTCTGAAGCATCAGTGGTGTCATGGTTTAGGGGTGATGACACCCCCCCCCCCCCCCCTTTCTCCCTTTCCAACCCTCAAAACTGTTTTATTAACAATGTTACACCGATTTTTTTATAATGGTAGTTTTTAGCAATAGATGTTAATACATGTTTACATTTCAACTCTTTGAGTCCCAAAGAATGCATCATGTGCTAATCGGTTACACATGGCTGCATAATCGGTGCGTGATGCATTCATGTTTTTTATTGACCACTGGCCAGTATAACAAAGCAAACTGGCAGCTTCGAACGGTAGTTCCCGTTCTTTGTGCTCAAGGTTGCACATGGTGACCATTTGGGAAAAACGTGGATACAAGCATAAAATGTGGCATGTTTGTGAGCTTTATCGAGTTACTAAGTGTCTGTGTGAAAACAATATGGCCTCCAAGCAGAGTCCTTCATGCATGCCAATATGATTTATGACTTTAGAAGCCTCTATTTTAAAAAAATACACAAAGTCAGCTGGTACAAAGAGAATAAATGTTAGTGAAAAAAAAAGCAATATTGGTCAGTGTCAGTAAAATCAAGTGCAATTTCCTTATTATTTGGGAACATAGGCTATAACATTAGGGACAGATTAAGCATTTTATTAAGTGTTTTGTGTGTGTGCGTGTGAAAATACTAATTGTTTTCAGAGGTCGTTTTTCTTCAACAAAAAGGGTGCTCTGTTATGTTGATCTAAATGTTTCTCTGGAATGAGATCTAATGGGCAGATTGTGTTTATATTTTATTTAAACATTACTAACTGGTTCATGTTAATTTGAGATTCATTTTGGATATATTTTATCGAGTGTTCCTTGAGTGCCATGGTGGTAAATTTCTTTTAACTAATTTGTCTAAACATACCATCGGTTAAATACTAATAATTAACTAGTAACACAATTTATTGTTGTAACCAGATTCTAATATTACCCCAGCAATCCATGGCCACTGTGATTTATAATATGTGTATGTTTCGCAGCAGCTGAATGAGTATGGTGTAATGTGTAACACTTGTGACATTTCAAAACTGTGTTACCACACCTTGGGCCTCCAATGCTAAACCCCTGTGACTAAAAAAAAACAGTTAAATTGTAAAATAAATCATGGTTGTCATCTTTAAAAAAATATATATTTAGAATTCTATCTCAGAAAAAAAGGTATTGAGAAATTAGTTATTGATTAATGAACTTAAACCATATTTGGAGGTAATAAAAAAAAATTTTTTAAATTTTAATTTAGAATTTTAAAATTCAAGTTTGCTGAAAAGGTCACAAAATCTAGCAATAACAAATTTAAAATAAAATAAAAAAGGAATGTAATCAAATATCCTTCTTTAAATGTATCTTTACCTATTTTTATTGTTTAAGGAGTATCCATACCCAATTTCATAATTCTAGTTTTTATATTAGTTGAGATTTCAGGATTTTAGATGTACAACAATCAGGAAACACAGAATTGGGATAAAGCTTAAATTCAAACTTTAGAGACAAATAAAATATGATTAATATAGACAGATAGTGTTCTTGCACAGTTTATTGTTTGCACAGAAAATGTCCCATAAATTTAACGAATAAATGCAACAGCAATACAGGTTTTGACTTCCTTTACTCAAGAGAAAGTCAAATAAAGACATAAATTTATTATTACTAGCAGCATAGCAGCTAAAAAGTTTCCCAAAATACACTTTCTTTTATTGGGGGGTGAGGGGGGAGGGGGGGGGGGAAGGGAGGGTCGCGGAAGACCCACTGTCTCCCTGAGATGTATATCATCAGAGTTGGCGTATTTGAGTTTTCCTTCCAAGTCGGAGTGCACTTGCCTGATAGACAAGGAACCAGTAGTCTATATACAAATAAGACAGATCTTTTTAAATAGAACCTCTACACCCCAAGGTAGAAGAGGAACGACTAAGTAAGTAAGTAAGTTGTTAAATGGATGTGAACGCAAAACTCAAGTTCTGTAACAAGACTTAAGTCCAGAAGTGGACGAACAACCAGAACTTTCTGCTACGGTTTACAGCTGGTGAATGTGGGGAAGACAAAGCAGAGACTGAGATAACATTTTAAATAAAACTATGTCTGCTTTTCATTTATTCGTCCAATATCTTTTTCTGTCTCCCTGCATGGAACATAATTGCACTGTTGCTTGTTTACTGTAGAACTGCGATATTTATGTCCTTTGACTCAAAACCCCAACTTTCTTGTGAATGTGTTAACTGGGTCTTCACATTACAGTTGCAGCTTTTTGTAAACAGAGTCCGTGTATTAAAACAGATGTTATAGTAAGAATGGAAAGATAATGTTCTGGTTTCCACCAGCCTCCATATCCATCAACTGATCAGGTGTCATCTCCACAATGAAGGTTGCCTACAATGGGGATCCCCCAGGGACTCTGTAATTCCCTCTGTCCATCGCTTGCATTGTTGGCCTATTCTTTGCTTCCCGCTTGATCTGTACATCACTGCTGGCTGTGGTATACTGTTTGTTGGCATCCACGGTATATGGTTAGACCATTTGATCTATTCTCTTTTAATGAAATCTAGAGCTGCTGCTACCCAATTTTCCTTCAGATTTCATTGTTTCTGATCTGATTTCTTCGTGTTATTTTGAGAGCCCTTTGCAGGAACCTCATTTCAGTTGTGATTTTGTTTTCTCTCTCTTCCTGTCATTGTCCAGGTCTGGCACTGACACAATGTTGACAAAAAGATTGTGTCTTCTGGTTTCTACTGATACATATTTGTTTCTTAGTTTTGGTGCCATTTGCCCTGTGAGTTGGTTTTCTTTGTTGCATCTGTCATCTAACTCACCATCTGTTTTCTTTGTTGCATCTGTCATCTCACTCACCATCTGTTTTCTTTGTTGCATCTGTCATCTCACTCACCATCTGTTTTCTTTGTTGCATCTGTCATCTAACTCACCATCTGTTTTCTTTGTTGCATCTGTCATCTCACTCACCATCTGTTTTCTTTGTTGCATCTGTCATCTCACTGACCATCTGTTTTCTTTGTTGCATCTGTCATCTAACTCACCATCTGTTTTCTTTGTTGCATCTGTCATCTCACTGACCGTCTGTTTTCTTTGTTGCATCTGTCATCTCACTGACCGTCTGTTTTCTTTGTTGCATCTGTCATCTCACTGACCGTCTGTTTTCTTTGTTGCATCTGTCATCTAACTGACCGTCTGTTTTCTTTGTTGCATCTGTCATCTAACTGACCGTCTGTTTTCTTTGTTGCATCTGTCATCTCACTGACCATCTGTTTTCTTTGTTGCATCTGTCATCTCACTGACCATCTGTTTTCTTTGTTGCATCTGTCATCTAACTGACCATCTGTTTTATTTGTTGCATCTGTCATCTCACTGACCATCTGTTTTCTTTGTTGCATCTGTCATCTCACTGACCGTCTGTTTTCTTTGTTGCATCTGTCATCTAACTGACCATCTGTTTTCTTTGTTGCATCTGTCATCTCACTGACCATCTGTTTTCTTTGTTGCATCTGTCATCTCACTGACCGTCTGTTTTCTTTGTTGCATCTGTCATCTAACTGACCATCTGTTTTCTTTGTTGCATCTGTCATCTCACTGACCATCTGTTTTCTTTGTTGCATCTGTCATCTCACTGACCATCTGTTTTCTTTGTTGCATCTGTCATCTAACTGACCATCTGTTTTCTTTGTTGCATCTGTCATCTAACTGACCATCTGTTTTCTTTGTTGCATCTGTCATCTAACTGACCATCTGTTTTCTTTGTTGAATCTGTCATCTCACTGACCGTCGGTTTTCTTTGTTGAATCTGTCATCTCACTGACCGTCTGTTTTCTTTGTTGCATCTGTCATCTAACTGACCATCTGTTTTCTTTGTTGAATCTGTCATCTCACTCACCGTCTGTTTTCTTTGTTAAATCTGTCATCTCACTCACCATCTGTTTTCTTTGTTGCATCTGTCATCTAACTCACCATCTGTTTTCTTTGTTACATCTGTCATCTAACTCACCATCTGTTTTCTTTGTTGCATCTGTCATCTCACTCACCATCTGTTTTCTTTGTTGCATCTGTCATCTAACTCACCATCTGTTTTCTTTGTTACATTGTCATCTAACTCACCATCTGTTTTCTTTGTTGCATCTGTCATCTCACTCACCATCTGTTTTATTTGTTACATCTGTCATCTAACTCACCATCTGTTTTCTTTGTTACATCTGTCATCTAACTCACCATCTGTTTTCTTTGTTGCATCTGTCATCTCACTCACCATCTGTTTTCTTTGTTACATCTGTCATCTCACTCACCAACTGTTTTCTTTGTTGCACCTGTCATCTCACTCACCATCTGTTTTCTTTGTTGCATCTGTCATCTCACTGACCGTCTGTTTTCTTTGTTGCATCTGTCATCTCACTCACCATCTGTTTTCTTTGTTGCATCTGTCATCTAACTCACCATCTGTTTTCTTTGTTGCATCTGTCATCTCACTCACCATCTGTTTTCTTTGTTACATCTGTCATCTCACTCACCGTCTGTTTTCTTTGTTACATCTGTCATCTCACTCACCGTCTGTTTTCTTTGTTGCATCTGTCATCTCACTGACCATCTGTTTTCTTTGTTGCATCTGTCATCTAACTCACCATCTGTTTTCTTTGTTACATCTGTCATCTCACTGACCATCTGTTACATCTGTCACTCACTCACCATCTGTTTTCTTTGTTACATCTGTCATCTCACTGACCATCTGTTTTCTTTGTTACATCTGTCATCTCACTCACTGTCTGTTTTCTTTGTTACATCTGTCATCTCACTCACCATCTGTTTTCTTTGTTACATCTGTCATCTCACTCACCGTCTGTTTTCTTTGTTACATCTGTCATCTCACTCACCATCTGTTTTCTTTGTTACATCTGTCATCTCACTCACCATCTGTTTTCTTTGTTACATCTGTCATCTCACTCACCGTCTGTTTTCTTTGTTGCATCTGTCATCTCACTGACCATCTGTTTTCTTTGTTACATCTGTCATCTCACTCACCGTCTGTTTTCTTTGTTACATCTGTCATCTCACTGACCGTCTGTTTTCTTTGTTACATCTGTCATCTCACTCACCATCTGTTTTCTTTGTTGCATCTGTCATCTCACTCACCGTCTGTTTTCTTTGTTACATCTGTCATCTCACTGACCATCTGTTTTCTTTGTTACATCTGTCATCTCACTGACCATCTGTTTTCTTTGTTACATCTGTCATCTCACTCACCGTCTGTTTTCTTTGTTGCATCTGTCATCTCACTAACCATCTGTTTTCTTTGTTACATCTGTCATCTCACTCACCGTCTGTTTTCTTTGTTACATCTGTCATCTCACTCACCGTCTGTTTTCTTTGTTACATCTGTCATCTCACTGACCATCTGTTTTCTTTGTTACATCTGTCATCTCACTGACCATCTGTTTTCTTTGTTGCACCTGTCATCTCACTGACCGTCTGTTTTCTTTGTTGCATCTGTTATCTTACTGACCGTCTGTTTTCTTTGTTACATCTGTCATCTCACTCACCGTCTGTTTTCTTTGTTACATCTGTCATCTCACTGACCGTCTGTTTTCTTTGTTGCATCTGTCATCTAACTGACCATCTGTTTTCTTTGTTACATCTGTCATCTAACTGACCGTCTGTTTTCTTTGTTACATCTGTCATCTCACTGACCATCTGTTTTCTTTGTTACATCTGTCATCTCACTGACCATCTGTTTTCTTTGTTGAATCTGTCATCTCACTGACCATCTGTTTTATTTGTTGCATCTGTCATCTCACTCACCATCTGTTTTCTTTGTTACATCTGTCATCTCACTCACCGTCTGTTTTCTTTGTTACATCTGTCATCTCACTGACCATCAGTTTTCTTTGTTACATCTGTCATCTCACTCACCGTCTGTTTTCGTTGTTACATCTGTCATCTCACTCACAGTCTGTTTTCTTTGTTACATCTGTCATCTCACTGACCATCTGTTTTCTTTGTTACATCTGTCATCTCACTGACCATCTGTTTTCTTTGTTACATCTGTCATCTCACTCACCGTCTGTTTTCTTTGTTACATCTGTCATCTCACTCACCGTCTGTTTTCTTTGTTACATCTGTCATCTCACTGACCATCTGTTTTCTTTGTTACATCTGTCATCTCACTCACCATCTGTTTTCTTTGTTACATCTGTCATCTCACTCACCGTCTGTTTTCTTTGTTACATCTGTCATCTCACTGACCATCTGTTTTCTTTGTTACATCTGTCATCTCACTGACCATCTGTTTTCTTTGTTACATCTGTCATCTCACTCACCGTCTGTTTTCTTTGTTGCATCTGTCATCTCACTGACCATCTGTTTTCTTTGTTGCATCTGTCATCTCACTCACCATCTGTTTTCTTTGTTGCATCTGTCCTTTAACTGACCGTCTGTTTTCTTTGTTGCATCTGTCATCTCACTGACCGTCTGTTTTCTTTGTTGCACCTGTCATCTCACTGACCGTCTGTTTTCTTTGTTACATCTGTCATCTCACTCACCATCTGTTTTCTTTGTTGCATCTGTCATCTCACTGACCGTCTGTTTTCTTTGTGGCACCTGTCATCTCACTGACCGTCAGTTTTCTTTGTTGCATCTGTCATCTCACTCACCATCTGTTTTCTTTGTTACATCTGTCATCTCACTGACCGTCTGTTTTCTTTGTTACATCTGTCATCTCACTCACCATCTGTTTTCTTTGTTGCATCTGTCATCTCACTCACCGTCTGTTTTCTTTGTTGCATCTGTCATCTTACTGACCGTCTGTTTTCTTTGTTGCATCTGTCATCTCACTGACCATCTGTTTTCTTTGTTACATCTGTCATCTCACTCACTGTCTGTTTTCTTTGTTACATCTGTCATCTCACTCACCATCTGTTTTCTTTGTTACATCTGTCATCTCACTCACCGTCTGTTTTCTTTGTTACATCTGTCATCTCACTGACCATCTGTTTTCTTTGTTACATCTGTCATCTCACTCACCATCTGTTTTCTTTGTTACATCTGTCATCTCACTCACCGTCTGTTTTCTTTGTTGCATCTGTCATCTAACTGACCATCTGTTTTCTTTGTTACATCTGTCATCTCACTCACTGTCTGTTTTCTTTGTTACATCTGTCATCTCACTGACCGTCTGTTTTCTTTGTTACATCTGTCATCTCACTCACCATCTGTTTTCTTTGTTGCATCTGTCATCTCACTCACCGTCTGTTTTCTTTGTTGCATCTGTCATCTTACTGACCGTCTGTTTTCTTTGTTGCATCTGTCATCTCACTGACCATCTGTTTTCTTTGTTACATCTGTCATCTCACTCACCGTCTGTTTTCTTTGTTACATCTGTCATCTCACTCACCGTCTGTTTTCTTTGTTACATCTGTCATCTCACTGACCATCTGTTTTCTTTGTTACATCTGTCATCTCACTGACCATCTGTTTTCTTTGTTGCACCTGTCATCTCACTCACCATCTGTTTTCTTTGTTACATCTGTCATCTCACTCACCGTCTGTTTTCTTTGTTACATCTGTCATCTCACTGACCATCTGTTTTCTTTGTTGCATCTGTCATCTCACTCACCATCTGTTTTGCCAGCTGATGATGTTAGCTTCCTAAGTATTTTAAGTTCTTGGTTTGTTTCAGAGGTTGTTCTGTAAGCTGGATATTCACAGTTTTGACTACTTTGGCAGAGTTATAACCTCTGTTTTGTTGGCATTAATTTTCATGTCATGCTCTTCATAAATTTGGTTTAAATTCTTTAAATGGTCTTGCAGTTCAGTTTCTTAAGTAGCAATTAGTGCTTGGTCGTCCGCAGATAGTAGTTCTTTGATGAAAGTTGTTTTTCCCTCTACATGTATACTCTTTTTTTTTCCATTATGCCTTGCATTTTCACATAAAATATGGCATAGATAAGCCACTGAAAATTCCAGATGCAAAAGTACCTACCCTAAGAAGGAGGTGAAGATTCCTGTTGCGTAAGAACCTTCGGAGATAATGAATCTCTGGCTCCTTGTTCGGGAGCCTTGATTCAAGAGTTGGGAGAGCAACCAAAAGCTTCTGGGCATCTGAAACATAACCACAATAATATGCCTATAACAAGTGCACTCAGTTCCACGGAAGCTAAGAGGTCAAGTGAAGGCATCATCATTGTGTATCTTGCATTCTTCTTCTTATTCTTTTTCTTCTTCTTCTTCTTCTGTATTTGCCCTTAAAAGGGTAGTTGGCACATTTTGTGGTTTACAGCTAGGGTGAGACACTCAAATGGTCCAAGATGATGTGCAAATAGCTTGATATTGTAATGTACGTGCAGGGGAGGATAATCATTAACTCAGCCTCTGCCCGTGTGGGTTCCGAGGCCCCAGTTTTTGGGGAGGAGGGAACAAGAACAGATCTGCTGCCCTCTAACAAGCATGTTGTAAAAGGGTTTTTGAAACTGGATGTAGATATCACAGCCTAGCTGTAAAGTAAAACTCAAGGCAATGTGAAAAAACACCCTTTCAGGGGTGGAAAAAAAAGGATGACAAAAACAAAGTCTGTACCTAGCTGAAAAATGAAAACAAAAAACCCCACCCCCAGAGAGAGAGAGAGAGAGAGAGAGAGAGAGAAAGAGAGAACAATTTTAATGAAATCAATGTTTTTCCTCTAATACACTGCTAGCAAGAAGAAAAGTCATACTGACATCCTAAAAGATCTAAACATCAAGGAAAATTGGCTCATAAACAGCATCTCATCTCAAAAATCATGGTTAATTAGAGAGAGTTGAGTGGAAGACATGGTACCAGGCAAGAAGAGCAGGGACCCACCAGCACAAAGATGGACACATGACATAAGAGAGCTTGGTTAGAAGAGTGAATGAGGGAGCAGGATTGTGTCAGGAGAACTGCTGAGGGGGCAGGTTTGTGTCAGGAGAGCTGAGGGGGCAGGTTTGTGTCAGGAGAGCTGAGGGAGCAGGTTTGTGTCAGGAGAGCTGTTGAGGGAGCAGGTTTGTGTCAGGAGAACTGTTGAGGGAGCAGGTTTGTGTCAGGAGAGCTGAGGGAGCAGGTTTGTGTCAGGAGAGCTGTTGAGGGAGCAGGTTTGTGTCAGGAGAACTGCTGAGGGGGCAGGTTTGTGTCAGGAGAGCTGTTGAGGGAGCAGGTTTGTGTCAGGAGAGCTGAGGGGGCAGGTTTGTGTCAGGAGAGCTGAGGGGGCAGGTTTGTGTCAGGAGAACTGAGGGAGCAGGTTTGTGTCAGGAGAGCTGAGGGGGCAGGTTTGTGTCAGGAGAACTGCTGTGGGAGCAGGTTTGTGTCAGGAGAGCTAAGGGGGCAGGTTTGTGTCAGGAGAGCTGAGGGGGCAGGTTTGTGTCAGGAGAGCTGAGGGGGCAGGTTTGTGTCAGGAGAGCTGAGGGGGCAGGTTTGTGTCAGGAGAGCTGAGGGGGCAGGTTTGTGTCAGGAGAGCTGAGGGGGCAGGTTTGTGTCAGGAGAGCTGAGGGGGCAGGTTTGTGTCAGGAGAACTGAGGGAGCAGGTTTGTGTCAGGAGAGCTGAGGGGAGCAGGTTTGTGTCAGGAGAACTGCTGTGGGAGCAGGTTTGTGTCAGGAGAGCTGAGGGAGCAGGTTTGTGTCAGGAGAGCTGAGGGAGCAGGTTTGTGTCAGGAGAGCTGAGGGAGCAGGTTTGTGTCAGGAGAGCTGTGGGGGCAGGTTTGTGTCAGGAGAACTGCTGTGGGAGCAGGTTTGTGTCAGGAGAGCTGAGGGGGCAGGTTTGTGTCAGGAGAGCTGTTGAGGGAGCAGGTTTGTGTCAGGAGAGCTGTTGAGGGGGCAGGTTTGTGTCAGGAGAACTGCTGTGGGAGCAGGTTTGTGTCAGGAGAGCTGAGGGAGCAGGTTTGTGTCAGGAGAGCTGAGGGGGCAGGTTTGTGTCAGGAGAACTGCTGTGGGAGCAGGTTTGTGTCAGGAGAGCTGAGGGGGCAGGTTTGTGTCAGGAGAGCTGTTGAGGGAGCAGGTTTGTGTCAGGAGAGCTGTTGAGGGGGCAGGTTTGTGTCAGGAGAGCTGTTGAGGGAGCAGGTTTGTGTCAGGAGAGCTGTGGGAGCAGGTTTGTGTCAGGAGAGCTGCTGAGGGGCAGGTTTGTGTCAGGAGAGCTGTTGAGGGAGCAGGTTTGTGTCAGGAGAGCTGTTGAGGGAGCAGGTTTGTGTCAGGAGAGCTGAGGGAGCAGGTTTGTGTCAGGAGAGCTGATGAGGGAGCAGGTTTGTGTCAGGAGAGCTGATGAGGGAGCAGGTTTGTGTCAGGAGAGCTGATGAGGGAGCAGGTTTGTGTCAGGAGAGCTGATGAGGGAGCAGGTTTGTGTCAGGAGAGCTGAGGGAGCAGGTTTGTGTCAGAAGAGCTGATGAGGGAGCAGGTTTGTGTCAGGAGAGCTGTGGTGGGAGTGGCATCATGTACAGGACCTACCCCAAGATGATGTCAGCAAGTAAGTCAACAAAAGACTCTTTCCATGCCAGTGGTATATCAGCCATATGATGCTAGGATCACAGCCTCACAGGTGCTGGACAGCTGATGAAGTCACCCTCACCTCAGCCATCTTCAGTTGCAAGATATTTACCTGGTACCCACTCAAGGCTGGGCTGACCTGGACGCCAAGGTCATTTTTTTAAAAAGAAAAGTCTGACTCTCTAGGAACTAACCCCAAGACCTTTAGGCTGGAAATGGAATACCTAGCTGCTATGCCACCATGAGATGACGATAGTGGTGAACAGATCATGTATCAGCCATCAAGAGAAACATCGTGCAAATAGATTAATATCTATAAATATATCATATAACAAGTAACAGTTGTATTTATGATACACTGAGGGGTCTACCTGTGTCTATTTTCACATGAGGGAAGAGTGGCAAATTCACTGGCATGGTCCCACATCAAACCGTCGTCCTCTTTGTTCACAAACTCCCTCCATACTAGCTACAGGCCTCATACAGATGCCTTACATCCTCTTTGTCTAGAGAAAATAACAGCATCAACAAGTTGGTGACAACAGTTCATATATTTACATGATTAAATATGGGAGCATGTGGTGAAGAGGAAGAAACAACTAGAGCATGTGATTTTGGCAACTGTGAATAGGATGAGTAGTAGAAGGAGACTAAGAGAGAAGCTGCTGGATAATCAGGCATCATGGCCTGTAAGAACATTGGTATCAGAAGTGATCTATATGCAAGGACCAAAGTTTCATTAAAGACATGAACACCTATCTACATTATCTGTGAGGCACATGATGGTCATAATGTTTCTTTGACTAAACACAGGAAGAACAGAACTCACAGGGAACAGCCAATGTTACAACATAACATTTTTCTGGTGATATTTCCTTTACTTCAAATCGAGTTACTTGGCCTCTCCTGTAGCAGCCATTTCTAAATGAGCTAACTCAGGGTTAGTTATTAGTGTAACACCTTCCACACAGACAGTTGTAAATTCCACACCTGGACCTCACAAGTTGACCTCAGAGGAACAGACATTTAGCACAGAAATAGTAAGGGTAATTATGAGTCAGGCCATGCTTCCACTCCTAGAGCCTCAACCTGTGGGTCTTCTAGCACACAGAAACGGTGACATGTGGGAGATATTCACACAACCTGTGGGTCTTCTAGCACGCAAGAGACAGTGACACGTGGGAGATATTCACTCAACCTGTGGGTCTTCTAGCACACAGAAACGGTGACATGTGGGAGATATTCACTCAACCTGTGGGTCTTCTAGCACACAGAGACAGTGACATGTGGGAGATATTCACTCAACCTGTGGGTCTTCTAGCACACAGAAACGGTGACATGTGGGAGATATTCACACAACCTGTGGGTCTTCTAGCACACAGAAACGGTGACATGTGGGAGATATTCACTCAACCTGTGGATCTTCTAGCACACAGAAACGGTGACATGTGGGAGATATTCACTCAACCTGTGGATCCTCTAGCACACAGAAACGGTGACATGTGGGAGATATTCACTCAACCTGTGGGTCTTCTAGCACACAGAAACGGTGACATGTGGGAGATATTCACACAACCTGTGGGTCTTCTAGCACACAGAAACGGTGACATGTGGGAGATATTCACTCAACCTGTGGATCTTCTAGCACACAGAAACGGTGACATGTGGGAGATATTCACTCAACCTGTAGGTCTTCTAGCACACAGAGACAGTGACTCGTGGGAGATATTCACTCAACCTGTGGGTCTTCTAGCACACAGAGACAGTGACACATGGGAGATATTCACTCAACCTGTGGGTCTTCTAGCACACAGAGACAGTGACACATGGGAGATATTCACTCAACCTGTGGGTCTTCTAGCACACAGAGACAGTGACACATGGGAGATATTCACTCAACCTGTGGGTCTTCTAGTACACAGAGACAGTGACATGTAGGAGATATTAACAGTGTTGACTTTTATTATCTCTTTATTTTCTTTACAAACAAAAACAACCACTGATGATTAATCTTGACTGATTATTAAACTGACATCATGACGGTTAGTATACTGCAATGGCTGGATTATACAGAGAGAATGGCAGACACAATTTTATACAAAAGAGTTAAATCGGAGTAGACCACAAGGCATACCAAGACTAGAAAGAAAGTATAGAACAAACACTTGCATGTAACAAATTGAAAGTGAAAACCAGTCAGAGAGATGAACAAAAGTGGGTGATATCTGCAGCAATAAATCTAATTGACTCAGAATACCAAAGAAGAAGAAGATTACAAGTATCAAACTCTGTGTTGTGATATTTACAAAGCTTGATTCTTCTGTTCCTCGTCATCATGCTGATAATCATAGGTAATCAGTTAACCAATCAGATTCAATCACTCAGGTGCCATCTCCACAGTGTAGGTTGGGTGCTGTTGATCTCCAACATGCTCTGTCTCTTCTCTTGGTTATACAACGTCATGTGAACAAATCTGACACTTGGTAACATGATAGTGACGCTTTCAATTCCAGTAAAAGAAAAAGATGGTCAGAGATTGGGGGTGGGGGGTGGGGTGAGGGGTAGGTGTTGTTAACTAATATGGTACCAAGCATCGTTTATTCTGTCTGTGTCCCTTTGCCTCCTTTTCCCTCCAACTTTCCTATTGCCATTACACACTCCACTTTTCCTGTCACCATGACAGACAGTGTGGTTTTAAAAAGTGTTATGTCTTTTGCCAAAATGTTTCAACTGTCTCTTTTTTATTTCTTTCAACAGCTTTTTTTAATTCACATTGTTGTTCATCACACAACGGACATGACCATAAGAGTTCTGATCACCTACTGAGTATGTCTCCAAGTGTTTGTAAGCTTACTACTCCCATTCTGTTCTGATCATCTCCTGAGTATGTCTCCAAGTGTTTGTAAGCTTACTACTCCCATTCTGTTCTGATCACCTACTGAGTATGTCTCCAAGTGTTTGTAAGCTAACTACTCCCATTCTGTTCTGATCACCTCCTGAGTATGTCTCCAAGTGTTTGTAAGCTAACTACTCCCATTCTGTTCTGGTCACCTACTGAGTATGTCTCCAAGTGTTTGTAAGCTAACTACTCCCATTCTGTTCTGATCACCTATTGCATATGTCTCCAAGTGTTTGTAAGCTTACTACTCCCATTCTGTTCTGATCAAATCCTGAGTATGTCTCCAAGTGTTTGTAAGCTAACTACTCCCATTCTGTTCTGGTCACCTACTGAGTATGTCTCCAAGTGTTTGTAAGCTAACTACTCCCATTCTGTTCTGGTCACCTACTGAGTATGTCTCCAAGTGTTTGTAAGCTAACTACTCCCATTCTGTTCTGATCACCTACTGAGTATGTCTCCAAGTGTTTGTAAGCTAACTACTCCCATTCTGTTCTGATCACCTACTGAGTATGTCTCCAAGTGTTTGTAAGCTAACTACTCCCATTCTGTTCTGGTCACCTACTGAGTATGTCTCCAAGTGTTTGTAAGCTAACTACTCCCATTCTGTTCTGGTCACCTACTGAGTATGTCTCCAAGTGTTTGTAAGCTAACTACTCCCATTCTGTTCTGATCACCTACTGAGTATGTCTCCAAGTGTTTGTAAGCTAACTACTCCCATTCTGTTCTGGTTGATGAAATGACGGGTGGCTCCCGCATGGTTTTCCTGTCTCACCGCTCCAATTGGTACACCTAGGGTATGCAGTCTATTCGGTGAAAAATAATTTTCCATGAAACTGAAAGATTGACAGCGTTGAGTCTCTCGTATAGCCATGATGATGTCTCTTCTGTCCATAAATGGCCCATTCCTGATAGTCGCACTGCCAACCAGGCATCTGCTGTCTCGCTGACTTTCACACCAGCATGACCTGGGACAAAAATGAAGGTGATTTAGGGAAACGTTATGTACTGATTCAGATGGAGCCACAGTTTCCAAATATGCCCTGCTTTGATCCTCTGTAGCATGTTCACTGAGTCGCTAAGAAAGCATGCACTGGTGAATCCTGTTTTCATTCACAATCTCTTACGAACCTGTGTATTTTATTTTTTTTAAACTCCTTGGACATCATGAACGGTATCCAGTGCAGCACCTTTGATCTCTCTCATCAATGTTCAGTTCAGGTTTGTGGATATCCTCAATCTCTGTATTTCCTATTTCAGTGCCTGTCTAGTGAATCTCTGCTCATTTCATCTCAGGATCTGCTCAATATAGCACCAAATTCTTTGTCTTATCGCTGTTGATTCCAGACACATCATTCAATAATTCAAGCAAAAACTTCTAAGGACAGAATGAGTTGAAGGAACACCTGCCTGGGGCCCAAAGAGTTAATGACAGTTTTTTTTCTCAATATGAGTAATGCTCTTAGGTTACAACCCAGCAAATATACAGTATAAAATAGGTAACAAGGATGGCTGTGACAAACACGGGCTGTAATGAAGCCAAGCCACTGCACTGTGTCTGGCCACAAGAAAATGTGGTCCCAGAATTTAAAAAAACCTCCAGAAGCCTAGATCAACCATAGGACATGTCAAGAACGGGGCTGCACTGCTTGACTAAATATTTCTACTGTGAGCACTTCTGTGTCTGGCGTGTGTTTCCTAGCACAGCCCCCCTCCACAGACATGATTCATCACTTCCGAACCCAACCCTTCCCCCTATGGTCTCTTTCTATGCGGTCTGAGAAAGGACTCATATTGATCGATAACGACACACACTCCCAGTCTGCCAGACTGAATCTAACTCGGGAGGCACACGAAGCTGCCTTGTATTCAAACAATGAACGACACCCACTACCCTGTAACTGTGGGGGCCGTGTAGTGTTGTAGTAGTAGTATTTAATGTCTGGCCGAACCAAGGCGCCGTGCCGCTTAATGGATTATTTTAATATTGCTGGTGATGCAACTATGTCTAAAAAATAAAAAAGCAACAATACAATATCTATATATGGAATCTATATACTGTATATATTTGTGGTTTTCCTTTTTTTTTATGTATTAACGTGTAACGGTTGTAAATTAACAACGAAGCGTATGAAACAAACGACGACAGAGAAGAGACTCAATTGGATGAAAGAAATTAAAATATATTAATTTTTAATGAGTGACCACGTTTCAAATGCTTACTATGGGTCTCTCTTTGCCATTCTCTTCGTTAGCTGGGTACCAAGATATTATGTACAATATTTTGAGATGAAATTACAAACAAAATTACGTTATTTTAGTATAGTTTTTGTTTATAAAGCTATTGCTTACCCTTCGACGAAAAACAACCGGTGCCTGGGGACACAGCAGCCGGCGACCAAACCTTGTCCTTCCGTGCAAGAAGCTGTCACCCACTGTCCTGAGCCATGCTGCGGTATTGCCTCCAACAACAACCACTACAGCCTGCACCTGCACCGCCTCCGATGGCCAAACTGCAGCA